CGCATGCTGGTCACGCATATCTGATGCGCACAGGGCGCGAGCGCCTTGTTGCTGCGGGCTACCAAAATCCAGTCTTGTGGCTCTCTCCTCTTGGCGGGTGGACCAAAAGCGACGACGTGCCTCTTGATGTTCGTGTAACTCAGCATCAAGCCGTCCTCGACGAGCGTATGCTTGATCCGGATTGGACCGTGATGGGTATATGGCCTGCTCCAATGATATACGCCGGCCCCACGGAGGTTCAGTTTCACGCAGCAAGTCGTCGCGCCGCTGGAGCGTCCTTCTTTGTTGTTGGACGCGATGCTGCTGGTATTAAGAGCTCCCCAGAAGCCACATGGAACCCCGACGATGACATGTATGACGCCAATCATGCCCGCTTTGCTCTTCAAATGTCGCCTGTGCTTGAAGATGCCCGCATGGCTTTGCTTTCATTCGACAAATTCTACTACGATAAAACAGATCACCAAATGAAGGCCTTGGATCCATCACGGGAGGATGATTTCATATCTATTTCCGGCAGCAAGATGCGCAAGCTTGCCGCTCAGGGAGCAACACCTTGCCGGGACCCTATTCCTTCTGACCTTTTGGCCGCAAATTGTGTACCCCAGGGATTTATGGTCCCTAGCGGCTGGGCTATCGTGTGCGACTACTACCAGAACATCGAGTCCCCCGATTGGATACCATGGTCCAAGGCCGTTGTTCAGCCCCTGGTCGACGAGAATACGGTGGCTCATGGCACGTACGGCAAAACCGATTTTGCTGTTTTTCTGACACGCGGCAATAAGCAAGCATCACCCTGGCATGATATTCCCTTGGTTGTCCCAACAACGACATCAGCTGCTGTCTCAAGCACTGCCCAGTTCAACATGATCACAGAGATCCCGAAACATACCTCGGCTAAGATGGAAGTCATGAAGGACAAGTGGTCGAATCCGATTATGTGACATCCAGGGTCATTGGCGAGTCAAAATGGAGTGAAATACATGATTACAAGGTCTAATTTTTAGGCAAGACACCAATAAGGACGGATCTCCACGTTATTATACGTACGGCGTGCCCTTCTTTAATTACGGACTGCTCCCTCAGACTTGGGAGGATCCACATATGATATCGGACGAAGGGTTCGGTGGTGATAACGATCCTCTTGACGTGATTGAGGTCGGTGAATCCCCATTGGCTCTGGGCTCTGTGACGGAGGTTAAGGTGCTTGGCTCCCTTGAGCTGATAGATGAGGGTGAAACAGATCATAAAATCATCGCCCTTCGGACGTCTGACCCCAGATCAGTTTCCATCAATGACGTGAAAGACCTTGAGAATCACGTTCCAGGGCTTACGGCCAGGCTTGTCGACTGGTTGAAAATGTGATTATCGCCCCTGCGTCCTCCGATCCACATTTCTAATATTGTTTGCCTATTAACCTTCTTTGCAGGTATAAGACCAGCGATGGTAAAGCCATCAATGTGTTGTCGAATAGCGGTGAACCTACTTCACGCCTGGAGGCAGTGAGCATCATTTCTGAGTGTCATGAAAAATGGACGGAGTTAGTCGCTACTGGCGCCTCGGAATATCCAGAATTTTGGCTCGGCCATTCTGGAAAGAACTAAAGGACTTTGTTTCTCGGAAAATGCGACCAAATCCAGAAAAATCTATCAAACATGTGTTATTTCGTGCTCAACGAGCATATACTATGAATCGTCCTTCAAGAAATTATTTAGCGATGTGTGCAATCCAAGATGGAGTTTCTCGACTGACGCAACATGTTTGCTTGCACATGCGATTTAGAGATGGATGATGTTGGACGACAGCATTGAAACGTTTGTGGAAGCGCAAATCCCAAACGTAGGGCGAGCAGTGGGGTGAGCAGCAGCAAGGGGGCGGGGGCGGACCCCCTAGGGCTGCCTAGCTCGTCATGATCGCCAACGAATGGAGCGCGACTTGAGAGCGGCCTGGCACCCTAGCGGACTCCTGGACGTAGCTTAATTGGGGCGGCGGCCGCGCGATCGCACCACTGGCAGTGGCGGCCGCGGCGTCCCGAGGCCACGCGAGCCGCGTTAGCTTACGGGAGCAGGCTAATGGCAGCAGAAGGGCAGCCTGTCTAGTGTGTGCTAGAACGTATATATCATTCGTTCTCTACATGGGATACTTTCATATTTCTCTAACTAAGGAAAACGCTACGACAGTATAGATTGATCCTCTCCTGTTGGGAATCAGGGCTACTATGCTAAGCAGCCCCATCTCACTTTCCCTTTTCCCGTCTAGGTCAGGAACACTGCCATTTCCCCTCAAGCGGGAAGTCGACCTACGCGTCTCAGGCGTCTCAGAGACCCAGGCGGAATTTGAGGTAATTATCTTCTGTCCGAGCTTCGTTGTCGCCCCTAGTAGTAGCTGCAAAATTTAATAGGTAGCTCTAATGCGATTCGATCGCGGGCACAGCTCCCGCGAAATCAGCCAACGGACTGGTACAAGTGTTAATGAGGAGCCGCGGCTTAGAGATGAGCGCGGCTGGTATGACACACGTGATCACAACGGGCGGCCCGATGGCGAACTTGGAAGCTTCGAAGAGGACCGTCAAGATCGGAGAGAGCATGTGTTGTCCGATGACTTCAGAGGTTGTTCAAGCAATGGGTACCGCAGACGGTCGCGTGAGCGCAAGCGCCTATTGGAAGCAGGTGATTTTTCAAGCCGACCGGGGATGGACAGACCTTGCGATAGATGGGAACCGCCAGAGACAGCTGCAACGCGAGCACTGTTCTCAACGTCGCCAAATGAAGCGCACTCTTCACGGCGATCAAGATTTGACGCACGGCGTCCTGATCACCATGCTTCTATAACCGGTGCTACATCTACATCGGGTGGGTACAGCGGGTCACCGCCTGCGGCCGACCTGCTCAAGGCGGCAATGCTCAAGGGCCTCGTACCTGTAGTTGCAGACTCCGCCACAAAGGCGCGGCGAGAACTCTTTGTGGGCAATACCCCTCTTGGCTCTGCCCCGAGTCCTTGCGCTATGTTGTAAGCATTATGATCACGACCGCATATGTTGACGTAGGCACGAGCGAGCGCACTCTTTTGGATCATTTAAATGCGGCCATGAAAACGGCCGTGCTCGCAACGGCGCCAGGGTCTCCAGTAATTGCATGCCGCTTGAATGCAGCGTGCAGCAAGAGTGTCCAATACAAGGCAGACGAATTTACCGCTCAACCAACTTGTTCAGAGGTCTGACAATCATAGATTCTGGTTCCCTCAGGTTTGCGTTCATCGAAGTGCGCAGCATTGAGGAGACAGATCGATGTCTGAATCTCTCAGGATTACCCTTCATGGGTGCGAATCTGAAGATTGGTCGCCCCTCCAAGTACAGCGGACCCATCACGACAGCTACGTCTTGGTCCGAAGTCCTATTGAATCTTGGAGCTGATACAGTCGATTGGTCATCACCTGCAGCCTTGGTCCTTAAAGCAGGTGGTGTGGATACTTCTTTGCTCACGCTTGAACACAATGCTTCGAAGCGTGAGCTCTTTATTGCGAATGTGCAGCCCGAAAGCTCAGATTTAACACTTCGAGCATTCCTTGAAACACTTATAGCCCAAGCGGAGACGGCGATTCATACCGGTGATATCATTAAAAGTCTCCGACTTTCAGGAACGCATGCCTTTCTGGAGGCACAATCCTCCTGCGATGCATCAGCACCACTCCGTGTCTGAGTAACTGTAAGAACCCCGTCAGCATAAGCTTGAGTGCTGAGACATTCTTCATTACGTTCACAGGCGCTCCTCAGCCTTGATCGCGTTCCATTTCGTGGCCACCGACTCAAAATTAGCCGACCGACTAGGCATGTCGATGCTAGCGCTGACGATGACGGCGAATCAAGACGAACCTGGGCAGAAACGCTACAGGAGATTCGCTGCCGGCATGGCAGGTCAGAGGAGCGAGGCCTGAGAGAATCAGAAGCTAATCACAATGAAATACGTCTCCACAGACCACTTAGTACACTAAAATCACCGCAACTATCTCCAGACATCGTTGTTCGTCTTGCCTCGCTCACCCAAGATCCTTCGACAATGCTGCTTCTCCGAGGTGCACTCCAGATTGCCCGCTCGCACGCCAAATTAACTCAGTTCATGACGGATGGCGATGACCCAGTTCTCCGCGATGTGCTAGCAGATCTGCGTGCTGAATGCACAACATATGGAAGCGTCCGCCAAGTTGGAGCTGAAGATGGCAATCTCTTTGTCGAATTCGAGCTTCTGAATGATGCTATCATCGCGGCAGCCAGTGTCCCTCAAATTAAGCTATGTGAACAAGCATATGCCGTTTTCATCCCCAACCTGCTTCTACACAGGCAATTGCCAACCTTAAGTTCCGACGTTTCTGCAACGAGCCACTCGACGTCATCTTCTACCGGCAACCGGATGGACCCCCCAACCATCCCCGTTGATTATCGATCACGGATCGCCTCTGTACGTGGATCAACGATGGCTTAAACCGACACAGAATTTCAGTGCGTTTGCGGGCTAAAAAATGTTTTGCTTAATATAGGCATCGGTCAGAGTATTCCTAATGGTCAGAATATGTGTTGTTATTGAATTGGAGCTCCTTCTACTCTAATAATCGCAAACTTGAAGGGCCATAATGGCAGTACACCCTTAGTTTACCATGACATGAACAAGCACCGGGCGCTCACTCGCGGGGACCACGCTCTGGTGAACTGGACTTGAGGTACCTGGACTTGAGGATTCAAGAGTTAAAGAAAGAACCAGGACTTGTGCATGAGCCCCAGGAGTCTCCGCTGAGGTCCTTTTAAATTGAAAATCGATCGAGGGAAACTCATGAGAACGGTGCAAGTTTATGTTGGAAGTTTATGTCATAATGGACACAATAATTGACTTCAATAGCATGATTGAAGCGTAAGAAGCACAAGTAGCAAAATATGACAATACTAAGACGCGTCGATTTTCCACGAGTCCTCGACGCTGAATAAGCACGATGGCAATAACATCATGATTTAAGTTGAAGCCTTTTTTATACCAAAATCCTTGACTCGCGACCTCGTCAGGATTTTGGTATAATAGGTTTTCAACTCCCCCAAAGCACCTGTATTAAGTCTAGGATAGTACCCCTGACTAGTCTGGATAGGATTCAAGGGTGGATGCGGGTTAGGTTGAGTCCTATACTTGAAGTCATACGTGTATGTCATGTTTCGTTTGGGGTTCTAGAGAGATAGAGAGTTTTGTATCCCCCTAGTGGCTCGCTGGTACAGAGCCACCCAATATCCTTCCCCTCCTTAATACTTTCTAAACCTGTTATAGTTGCTTCCCGCACTGTAATAGACGGAGAGTCTTCCTGGACCTAGTGAGGCAGATCTAGAGAGATAGAGAGATTTCTATCTTCATCTTCAGTGAACTGCATCTTGATGTTGCAGTGCACCCTACCCCACATACGGACCCTAACCCTACCCTATTCGTGCGACTTTTCAGATAATTGGAGCTCTGCACGTTAATTCCCCGGTGCTTCTGTGTCGCTTCGCTGCAGCTTCCAGCTGCTGTATCAGCGCGACCCTCCCCAATGCGAAGTCTATTTTGGCGCCCGTGCTGGCGATCATGGGATGTACTTCGCCTGTAGCCTCTCCCGCTCTTCGTCTTCTGTCTGGTGACCTAAGGTCGATATTCCAGCTTATCCACCATTTCTGCCGTCGGGGGCTTTTACGATAGCAGTAGGCTAAAATCTCGTCTCGCCCCATGGCCAACTTGGCATACCTTGACAAAGTCCGCAACGCCGCAGAAGATGCGTACGTACAGGATCCAAAATCCTCGCGAAATGAGACAAATTCCGGAAGATATTCAAGCTTATTTGGGAAGCAGCGGAATCACAACCGCGGAATTGGCGTAAGATTTTCAAAGCTCTAATGTTATGCGAGTATCTAGTCAAAAATGGATGCGAGCGCTGTGTGGATGAGATTCGTGACCATACCTTTCACATTCGACAGCTGCAGGATTTCAATTATTACGAGGAGAAGCTTGACAGAGGTCAGGGCGTGCGAGAAAAATCCAAACAACTAGTTGACCTACTTACCGACAGTAACGTCATACGCGATGCGAGGGAGAATGCTAAGCGACTTCGCGACAAATTTGTAGGCCATGGTTCTGGAAATAGATATCAAGGTGGCGGTCCATCTTTAGGTCAATCCTCATATAGCAGTGGTGGCTACTCTGATAATGGGGGGATTTCAGGCCGGTCTTCAGATGCCACCACCTTACCATACTCAACTGCTGGTAGCTACTCAGACGCCCCAGGTCGTTACGAATGTGAGCCAAAGGCTGAAGCTACCTGTGATCTGGCCCCCTTGCGGATCAAACCCAAGATTAAGACTGTGCCTTGCATTAAGATGAGGTCCGATGCTTTCAAAGACAAGTCTGTGGCCGAGAAACCATCCATGTCTTCGGAATCCACCGACGACACATTTACAAATGTCAATTCTGAGCTGACAGCATTTTCCGAACTCGGTGCGTTTACCGCGCCTAGGGTGGACCCAAACTTCCAGGAGACTGCCTTTGATCCCCGTGGAGTAGAATCAGAACTATCACCGCAAATTTCAGCGCTGTCCGGACAGGTAGGATCGTTCCATGTCGAGCAAACTCCTCCCCCGTATCCGCCTAAGCTTAGCATGATGCCACCCCAGCTTGACTTTCCAGCAAACTGTGGAATGCCGCCTTCTTTCCACAGTCTTACATTGCCAAACGCATCATACACGGACGATTTTGGTGATTTTGCAACAGGCCCGCAAATCGCAGCGTCAACGTCGAAGTCCATGGATACTGTGGGTTCCCTGTGCTCACTTGACTCCCTTTCATTGAATGCGTCTGTCGCCCCGCCATCCTCACAGTCAAGTTGCTATGGTGGTGGTGGGGGTCTTAACGATGCTGATAAGCAAGCATATGCCAACCACAGCGCATTCACTGGCCTTGATGGGTTTTCTACGGCCCCCCAGCCTATGCGCCCTGGTGTAATGCCACAGACAATCGGCAACGCTCCCACAGCCTATACTCAGTCCGCAACCATGGCTAGCATGAACCCCTTGTCTTACCAACCGAATTCTATGATGCAATCTCACCCGCCTCAGCCTCAGGTCAATTACTCCCCACAAAAAATGCAAATACCACAAGTTCCTCCAAATACGCAAGCTTGGTAAATATTTGTATTTTGCTACGCGCCACCTCTGATGCAACTACCATCAGCGCACACGTCGGAGTCTAGATCAACATCCACGATGCGAGGCCACCCCCATCTTTGGCAACTCGAACCCCCCGGGGGTGGGCTATTGACGTGGCGGCCCCTGGGCTGTTTCGAAAAGCATGGTCCCTTAACCACCACCACCCCAGCTTCTACCCGGACTCGGGCGCACACACGTATACCTGCGGCTTAATGGAGGGCTCCGTTCGCGGTCACGACGGTCGACCTAACTATGCTTCTGTGGTGTCCCCTGCAGTGCCAGGCCAGCGTACACATCCGCGCACGCGTCGGCCGTGGACTCTCCGCCCCCGTCCGTTGTGAGGACGAGCGGGCGTACGCTGCGTGTGCAGAGAACCTAGCACAGTCAGGGGGGATAGCGACGTAACTAATAGAGGGGGGAAGTGACGTTCATATGAAGGGGCCCCCGCGCGACGGTGCGTGCCGCGGTCCTGGGCCACGTCCCCGGCCTGTGCCCGGCCCGTGCCCGGGGCCGCGTGCTGGGCCCCGTGCCGCGTGTCGGGCCCGTGCCTGGCCGCATCTCAGGAGGGAGATTCTCCTGTATCTGCCCTACTGTCCTTATTTCCCCTTCTTGCAATTTCCTCGCAGGTTCATCATGATATCCTCATGCGCCTGAGTTCAGTCCCAAGGTCCCCACTTTAGTATGGGGCTCCTTTCTCCTTTCCCCAATTTCCTTCTCTTTCCCTCTTTCCATTCCAAGTTAAGACAGTATAGAGTGACCCTCTCCTGTTGGGAATCAGGGCTGCTTAGCAGCCCCATCTCACTTTTCCATTTCCCGTCCGACGAGCCTAGGTTAGGAACACTGCCATCTCCCCTCAAGCCCGTGCTCGGGGCCCGTGCCGAGTGCCGGGCCCGTGCCGGGCCGCGTGCCTGGAGCGCATTTACCGTGCCGGAACCCCCTTGGAGCGCATTTACCGTCCCCGGGCCCGGATCTCGAAAGAGGCCTGCATTATTAGAGAGTTTTCCTAGTTAGAGGATCCCGATCCTGAGAGTATCCCTAGTTAGGCCCCTCCTCTCCACTATTTTCTCTAGGCAGATCAACTGTCCATCCTTTGGAATGCAAAAGCTAAGGATGTATGAAGAGCTCTCGCATGGCCCAAGGTTGTGACGTGCCACAGGTAATGCTCAAGCTGGGGATCTTCTTGATAGTTTCTTTGAGTAAACCCAGTTCATTTCTTTGTACTGAGATTGTTGCTCCACTGTCTAGGAGTTCTAATCTTGGCTGTAGCTCATCTTCAGCAAACTGTCTCGAACTGAGCAGCCGAGCAACGTCGTTTGCGGTCATTTTTCTTCCTGAGAATCTGACTTTTCGATGAGAAGGTTCAGCGGAGCTGACTGAAGCAGAGGAACCGATTAAAGCAGACATTATTGTTTCATCATTTGGGATAGAGATACAGACAGATGAAGCGTCTGCATCTAATCCCGAAAACTTGACATCTCGGTGTCTGTCAACATAATTGCAGGGAAAGAGGAGTCATTGCTTTCTTCCTCTAGCTCTTCCATGGTGAGTATTGTCTCTTTTGTTTCTGAGAACAACTCTCCCCCAGTTTGATGATACACCGCTGCCATCGTCTCCTCGGGAACATCGTCGGGCTGAAAGTCTGTCGCTTCCAAAACATTTGCTGTCTTTAGCGACTTAAAGGTGGCTTTTTGTAGCTGTTCCAATTCTTTCTTAACATCATCATCAAGCTGGTTAAATGTACCATTTTTGATCTGAGTGTAGATGAATTTCTGCAGCGCCATGGATGTCTTTGGGACATTCGACTCATCGCGGACATCCACGTTATGATGCGCTGCACCAAAATCACTCTCTCTTTGACTGGTTCTGGCCTGCTGTGAGCTTCTTGGTACTGCATGCTTCACAGCTGTTTTCATCCTGTCGATGTAGGCTTCTTTGCGTTTATGCATCGGATCATTTTCATCGTTAGAGGACAAGTTCACTACCTTTCTTTCAATCTGGTTGAAGGAAGAGGTGCTGTGCAATTTGCCTCCACCTCTACCAAAACCGCCTGAGCCTCTACCAAAACCGCCTTTACCGCGATCCCGTAGTTTAAGGCGACCTTTTTGACGGTTGCTAGTTGCCTTTGGCTTGAACCCTGGAGTAGCAGATTTATTTCCACCTGCCATCATGATTTGTTCTTCAGTGAAATGCACACTCACACAATTGGCAGCGAAGGCTGCCGTGGTCTCATCTAATAAGCTCAATATGGTTTCATCTCTGTCACAAGCGTCGTAGAGCTGGTTAACTTCGTCCATGTCAGTGTCATTCAGATAGAAAGTACAAGACTCCAATTCTTCCACCTGATACATGCCAGCATTTTTCAGGCTGAGACTGAACTGTGCTTGAGATAACCTACTTCGGTGCTTGAATTGTTGTGTGTTATCGAGATCTAGTGAAAGACATTCGTTCATATCCGGCGGTTCCGCATAGTGAGCGGCGTACAAGGATGTAAACATATCTATCATTAATTTTATGTCATAGATGGCATGACTGAGACCAACTTGTGCTGCTTCGAGAGCTTTTAGTGAACTGGGACTATCGCGATGATGGGAGTTCCCATAGAAAACGCGAAGAGCATCTGTAATTTTAAAGATCTTTTCATGTAAGGCAGATGCTGGTTCATCACTGGAGTTCTGCCATTGTGCGGCACTCACATGACGCCACATGGCCGGAATGACCTCTCGCATGAGCTCTCTCTTGGTTCTGTATGCATAGGTGTCATAATTTGACATAGACCCTATCTTCTCATTAAGTTGATATACAAACTTCATGATGTTGTTGGGGTCAAGTAATGGAAATTCGGAGAAGGCTCCAGTTGTAGCGTCGAGTACATCTTTACGATAGTCCTGCAAGTGTAGAAGTATGGACTCTTGTCCACCACACAGAACACTGAGAACCCATTGAACTAGAGTGTAGGACTTGCAGCCCATGCTTATTTTCCTGATGTTCTCCATCTCTGCTGAGAGCAACTCAGATTTGTCCTTTTGGGACAGATTACGGAAGCTATTGTTCAGGTAAGCATAGAGATTTTCAGATACTACAGTGTCTGATGAGCCAAAGTCCGTGAGATCCATATGCTCCGCAGGATTGAAGTTAACATCCCCTGGAATCATAGAACTCATCGGTGCGTAACGTCGATCTTCAGCACTCTGATTCATGCCAGCTTTGAATAAGCAATTGCGATAACCGTCAAAGAAAGGATTTAAGGGTATATAGCACGGTTGATGCTCATTCGTGCGATCCCCAAAATTCATAGGAATGCAGTGAAATGAGAGCGTCTTCATTTCAAGAGCTTTGTCATGCTTGAGAATCTTTGAGATCACGAATTTCTGATCCTTCAATTTGAATCCTTCTTCTGTGATATATTTGAGTGGATCCTTCAAAAATTTTTCTTTAGTGAAAAGATCAATTGGAACTTTGTCCCATAGAATCACTTGCTCTCCGCGAGCACTAGATTCATCAAGCTGGACGTCATCTATTTTAAGAATTTGAAGTCCAGATAGCTGCGTCACATAGGAGCCAGATCCGTAACTCTCGCTGGAGTTATACGATCTGTGGGCCCATAACCCTCGCAGGGGCAGCTGCGAGAGTTACGTGGACTGACCTACTGGCGTTAGCGCCAGGGAGGGAGGATCTCAGTACTTTGGGATAGGAAAGGAGAAAGAAAGGAGGAGAGCCTCCTCAGTGGGGAAGGTCAGTCAGGGTGGCGGTAGGCCCAGTAGGCTGAGCCTATGGTCCTGTAAAGAGGAAGGTAGACCTTGAGGATAGGTTGAGGTAGAACTTGAGGGTAAGTTGAGGAAGAGTCAGGAAATAATCCTTGAGCAAAGTCTTCACAAGCAACTCTATATTATGAATTTTTAGTTTGAGATGATCTCCGATGTTTGGTGTTATCATTTCTGACCTATTTCAAACTCTAGAATTGAAGTTTCAATTCTGGGGGTGTAGAGAGTTTTCCTAGTTAGAGGATCCCGATCCTGAGAGTATCCCTAGTTAGGCTCCTCCTCTCCTCCCTTGTACTTTAATTCTCCACGGTTTATGCGTAAGGAGAGTTGCGGGGCTGAACCTGAAAAGGGAATTCCTCGTAGTCAGTGTAGTGAACTTGAAAAAGGGATCTACCTGAATTGAGTAGCTTCGTGATTCCCCATCATCCCCGTAATTTACATTACCCTGTCCCCTCACTATCGCGACGTCACACTATGGAGATGACACTGCACTACCCTGTAACGTTGATCTCAACGTTCCTTAGTACCCTAGTTTGGGGTATCTCTCTCTAATTATAAATAACTTCAATACGAGTGGCTTGTTCCGAGTTGAGTTTAACTTGGGATGGCGTGTACGCAATGCCCGCACACTGTGAGATTAACGCGGATAGAATAAGTATGAGTGGCACAGGCTTCGGCGCCGATGTCGAGGCTTTCGGTGGCGGATTTTTTGATCGGGTGCGTTGAATGGTTCTTGTGCAATCATGTTCGTTTTATTCAGGTTTCCGGTGTTGGTATATCGCGTGAGACTTACGATACAGTGGAAGTGCAAGATTGTCACAGCCAGTTGCGAACCTGTATGCAGCGCATATCTGATGTAGAGGCGATAAATGTCGATCTTGAAGCTCGTCTGGAATCACAAGCCAGGGAGTACATAGAACTTGAATCTGATGCCGCAGAGTCGCAAGCTCCAGTGCGCTTTTGCACTCAAAAATGCCAATCAAATGCTAATCAACACCAGGTTGGCATGTTGGAAGAATCAATACGAAGCTCTTGTCAAGGAGGCATCAAGTTGGAAGTGAGTTTTCATGTTATTAAATTTTTACATCGAAAATTATTAGCAAACTCGTGCTAATCTGTAGGCACATGCATGCGCAACAGGTGCTGAAGAACCAAAAGGTCCGCGAGCAGCTGTTACGAACAGAGAGAGAACTGCACGGTATTCTCCAAAAGAAGTATGATATCATGGAGTTTGCGAGGCGTGAGGAGCGAGATCGAATACGCGCGGAACGAAATACAGGGTTGATTGAGGGTGCGCAGCCTTGAGAGGTAGCGATGTGGAACTCGCGCGCGTAAGCTCCACAGATTGTGTCGCACCGAAGCGAGACCGCGTTAAAGACATCCAATTCCACCACAACCCTATTGGGGCCCCGCCCCAAGATGTACGTCGAGGCCGCGCTGTCCTCGCTCTTGCTGACTTCTTCCGGTTTGATCTTCACAAAGATGAGCGAAACCAGAATCGTCCCTCTGCACCAAAGAGCGACCTGAGCTTGGATCTGCGCTGATGGCTGATTGTGGTGCTTGAAGAGTGGGCACGCTACCGCAGCACGCTACCGTGGGTTGAGAGAGATACCCTTAACTTGCCCTTCAAGTTAACTAGGGCGACAATGCGGGCAGCATTACACTATACTGCGCCTCTGCCCAGGGGTTTCCTAGCGCACTATAGCCTCCGGTCTCGCCAAACATATCTCTCGACGGCTGCCGATTGATCGTCCGCCCAACTGCGGACAACAGACCTCACACTGCGGGCTGCCTCCGCGTCGCGCGTCCGCAGCACATGGGCAACCCTATAGGGAGTCCTCTTGGCAGCTGCGGCGGGCCCTCGTGACGCGGCTCCATCTCAAAGGCCCGGGAATCCCTATAGCGCATTGTGGTTCTCGAGCGCCCGAATGATCTCGAGCAATGCGACTTCTCGGCGGGACCCACGTCCTGCGCGCTGCGCGGGCCCGAATGATCTCAGCTTCTGCGCGTCCCCGCGAGGAACGGACTGGGGTTTTGGAATCTCCGCCCCCGAGTCCCTACGGCGATGTAGGCTCCGAGTCGCTTTCTCCCCCTGTGGACTGGAACATGCCGAATGCCGTGTCGAAAGTTGTCCGTCCATCGACATCGACATGCGAAATGCTGCACGAAATCAGGGTTAGTATCGATCGATTAAGTCAAGAACCAATGTTGTTTGAAGAAGTTAATGTATCTTCACTTTTGATGAAGTGGATGAAGCTTGGGACGAGCATTGGACATTGATGGTGCCATGCAGATCTTTTGTTAAACGCGTCGAATCTTTTGTTAAACGCGTCGATTCTTTTGTCCGTCGCCCGGCGTAGGATAGGTGCCGTGTGGCTAAAAATCCATCAAGATGCCGAAGAGATGACAAACTTTGAAGAGAACTTCGCATTTTAGACGCCTGTGACCACAGTCAGCTGCCCTTGACCACGGCCCGGCGCCCGGACACGTCCCCGGGCGTTCCGTCAGGAAAGGCGGCGGTACCGGGGCCGTTGATCGCTTCACTGGCGCGGCGGTGCGCAGGCCTCAGCTCTCGAAGCGGCCTCGCGGCCTCAGCTCCGGCCCCCCACGCAGCTCTAGTTAGCCCCCAGTGAACTTGAAGAGTTTGGGATGTGTCACATTAGGCCAGCGCATTAGGCCAACCCCTGCCTTGCCCTCGTCCGCAGTACCACCCGACTCAACTCGGTGAAGAGTTTGAGAACGCGATATCCTGAAGGTCTAGATCAAAGCCTGAGTTTTCCAGGCTCCTCTCGTCCAGGCCAAGGACAGATAGCTGTCTGCCACGGGACATTCTTGTGCGCCATAAGCTAGGTCCCCGCGTCTGTTGCTTGCATTGCCACTTTAGTGGAGAAGGGGCTCTTTAGATTCTCCAAAATGACGTTATTAGTGGTGCGTCCTAATGAAAAACGTCGTACCCAGCAGTAGTACAAATCCTGGTCTCATTCTATAACCACGAGTGCGTGCGGCTCTGATATCAATCAGTACATATTTAATCAGTCTTTATTCATGATCATTTGAGGTATACACCATCCAAGCAAGCAAGATGCGATACTAATTGTGACAACTAGCCCGAGCGGATAGCTACGGGCGATGGGCGCGTGATGGTATAAAGCGGTGTTTTCATATTGCTGTTGTATTGTCGTACCGAGAGATTCACGCTGGAGGGAAGAATTAGCGATCGCAAGATCCGCGGTGAGGGCATCACGTTCAGCGGTAAGATTCACAGTGAACGCCACGAGATCATCATATTTCTTGCGAAGAGCAACGATTTCTGCAAACATAGCTTCCGGAGTTCCAGGTATCGGGACGGGAGCTGTAGCTTCTAGTGGTCCATGAAGGAGCCGGCCTCGCTCTGAACCAAGACTTGCAGCTTCTGACGGTGGATCCAAGAAGAGAAGGCTCACTGGGATTTTTTTCGCGTGTAATTCTTTCTTATCCTTTTTGCAGAAAAGGCGTGTTATAGCATCTGCGAGTTCATGGGATGTTTTGGATTCAAGATCATCCATGATGGCATTATCGATCGTGGCGCTTTGAACCAAAAATTTGTCGTTGCAATCAAATGGACCGTTCAGCGTAAATTTGTTCAAGATCTCTTTTTTTTTGGTGCTTACGATAATTATCGTTATTTCAGCAGTGCAACCATCTCGGATCAGTCCGTGATTCGGCTTTACAAGATAGCGCTCGGGTGTGGTGGTTTTTACTTTGAACGCGACGTTTTCAGCCGTCAGATTATTGATACGCAGTGCGGTTTGTGCTTGG